CTGTCCAAACACAGGTATACTTGGGGCCAGCACAGTGGCATAGTGGTTAAAGCTGCTGCCTACAGTGCCAGCATACCATATGGGTAGCGGTTCTAGTTCTGGCTGCTCCACTTCTGATCCAGCTCTCTACTATGACCTGGGAAAGCAGTAGAAGGTGGCCCAAGTCATGGAGCCCCTGCACCCACGTGGGAGACAGGGAGGAAGCTCCTGGCTCCTGGCTTTGGATTGGCCCAACTCAGTCGTTGCAGCCAACTGGGGAGTGAACCACCAGATGGAAGACCTCTCTCCCTCTCTGCCTCTACTTCTCTCTCTGTGTAACTCTGGCTTTCAAATAAATAATAATAAATCAATCTTTTTTTAAAAAAACCAAACACAGGTACACTAAAAGTTTTCTTCAGCCTATGTGTATAACTGTATATGAAATATAAATGAATTTTATGTTTAGATTTGGCCCTGCCACCAAGATGTCTCATTATGTATTTGCAGATATTCTGAAAACCAAAACAATCTGCCAACATTTTTAGTCCGAAGCATTTTAGATAAGGGATATTCAACCTGTATTTGCTATTCCAACAGTGCTGCAGTGAATAGCCTCATGCTTATGTTCACTGTGTTTGTGGAAATTCTCTTCAGAGTGAGTTCCTAGAGGTAGTATTGCTGGGTCAGAGAGAAAATTCGTGTGGGATTTTTAAGGTGCTGCTGTGTTACCTTCTTTAGCGTTTTTCCTGCTTTGTATTCCTGCCAGAAGTGCAAGGTTTCTCCAGACCTTGCCAGTGAAGTGTGTTGTCCAGCTTTTGGATTTTTGCTAGTTTGGTGTGAAAAACCATAAAAGTTGCATTTTGATGTTCTGTGTCTATTTTTTTTTTCTATTGGGCTTTGCCTTCTAGTTTTAGAAATTATATTAAGTACATTAGCTGTTTAAATAATTTGCAAATATTTTTTCCTGATTTGTCTCTTTACTTAGCTTCTGATAGTTTTTGTTGCTCTGAAGTGACTTTGGTGTCATAACAGTGACTAGATTTGTGAAAGTGACTGGAATTTAGGGTCACTCCAGTCCTCGGCTGTGGCAGTCTGGTCTTTCCATCCTTTCCCTGCCAGAGCCAATCCCCAGGGTCCACTGGGGAGATCATTTGTTAGGAAGACTGCTCTGTGACCAGGATCAACTGGATAGGAAGAGATAGTATATCTCAACTCTGTTGGTTGGAATCTTGATTAGATGTCTGTAAAGAATAAGAAAAACAAAGATCCTGGCTAATGCTACACCCAAGACCAGCTGGAAGAGGGTGTTGACAGGGTCCTTCCAAAGCTGCCCCTGTGGGGTTTTATGCAGCCCTGGTGGAAACCAGTGGAGTAGAGATGGTGAAGAGAATCCATGTTGTGGCACGTGTCAGGGTGGCAGCAGAGCAAGCGGGATGTAGCTGATGGGATAGGGGCTGAGAACACAGGAGGAGCAGAGGCTCCCCAGGAGGCGGGAGACTATGACTCCCATACCATCTGGTGGGTAGTGCCTTCTGTTGCAGGTGGTTCATTGTTGTGTGGTCTGTTTCATTTTTGAGCATGGTAACTAGGTGTTGGAAGATGGGGATAGAGAGGGCCAACCCAACATAACAGTTTGTCAGGGATCTTAAGTACATTAAATACAAGCTTCAGCAAACAAGTGCAGAGCAGGTGCTGCCCGCTGAGAATTGACTGGTAGAGTGCATGAGAAGAGAGCGGGAATTTGTATTTCGGCTGTGACGTGTTTGGATTACAGGATGTGATCTGGGTCAGTGGTGTTTTAAACTTGTGTGTGAGTGTGTTTTTTTTTTTTTAACCAATGAAACCACTAGAAAAATATTTGAGCGAGTTCATTTTGTGTTGCTATAACTGGATAATCAGGACTGTATAATTTATAAAGAAAAGAGATTTATTTAGCTTACAGATTTGGAGGCTAGAAGTCCAGGATGGAACAGCTGCATCTGCCTAGCTTCTAGTGAGGGCCTCATGGAGTAAAAACTGAAGGGCATGGGGAGGCATGGTAGAGAGGAAGCAAGAGGAGGCTGCACTCAGTTTTATGACCAGGTACTTACAGAGTACCGAATCCACTCCTGTGGGAACCTCATCTATCTGGTCATGAGGGTGGAGCCTCTGTGAGCCAGCCACGTATCTGTCCTACTACCTTCCCTCTGCTTCAGGTGGAATCTGCCTTTGATGTGCATTGTGAATGGACTTGATCAAACATTTGATCACCACATACTGTCCTCTAACTAATTAGGAAGGGCATATGGGAGAGTGAGAATCCAGGAGTAAGCCCAAAATGGCTTCTGCTGTGGTGGAGGAGGGTCAGTTTCAAAAACAAGAAAGTACCTTTGTAGCGATAAATTCAGATAGTGGATGAGAACTGGGCAGTTGTAGGGATTCCTAGGGGCTGCCTCAGCATTGAAGACTCCTGGTAGACAGCTTGGGGAGGTGGGGTAATGAAGCAAGGGCATCCAGGCTGGATGGGGAGCAGAGGGGGTTCTGCAGGGATTTGAGGGAGGGACTTCTTTCAGACACTTTCATTAAGACCCACATCTGGAACTTTGCAATGTAGCACAGTGGATTAAGCTGCTGTTTGCAATGCCAGTGTCCCATATCAGAGTGCCAATTTGAGTCCTGGCTGCTCCATTTCCAGCTCACTGCTAATGCACCTGGGAAGGCATTGGAAGATGGCCCAAGTACTTGGGCCCCTGCCACCCATGTAGAAGATCCAGATGGAGTTCTGGCTCCTGGCTTTACCCACTGAGCCCTTCCTGAGTGAATGAGTCTCACTTTGCCTTTCAGATAGGTAGGTGGGTGGATGGATGGATGGATGGATGGATGAATGAATGAAAGAAATCAATCTTAAAAAAAAAAAAAGACTGCTGCCCCCAAAAGGCTTTCCCTTTGGAATTATATTCAGGACCTCCTGTTCCCCCTTCAGTTTCTTGGCTGCAGTTACGTTACTGCTGTAGTTCCTTAAGCGATCATGATACCACCTTAAATATCCTGGTCCAAGTGTCCTAGGAGACACCTTTCGCTGAGCCACCTCAGTAGTTTCTTTTGAAGAGGACTGTTCATTTTCAACTTTGTTTTCAGGTGAGGGAAGAGAGGAAGAAAGAAGTTACAGCTTCTCTGTAGTCGAGGCTAGAAAACCTGGATCACCTTGTTGCCTGTGTGCCCTGAATATAAAGAAGGCTTTCTGATGCCCCAGCTGTCACAGGAGGGACACTTCCCGCACTGTGACCCAGGGTCAGGCAAAAAGGAAGAAAAGGCCGTATGGGTCCCTGGGCCCTGAAGAAGGCTGGGAAGGTGATGGAGAACCCCTCCGTGTTCATGGACACAAGGGAATGGGATTCTCACTGTCATACAGAATGTCTTATTTGATGTTTGTGTGACGTTCATGTAATGAGTTATTAGTGGCTTGGTTTCCTGAGGATTCCTCGTTTGTGTTAATAGAAGTGTCTTGCTTACGTGTGGACTGTGATGGCACTTTTGTGTCCGCAGTGCCTGTTTGAGCCCTTCAGTAAGATGACTGAAGCTTGTTGGCATTTGCAGCCTGGGTTTATGACTAACCATCTTGAATTAGGGAATTGGGGTTAGAACTTAGGAATGTGAAGAAGCCTGAAATGAATTTAGAAGTCTTAAACAGTGACCTTTTTTTTTTTTTTTTTTTGATAGGCAGAGTGGATAGAGAGAGAGAGAAAGGTCTTCCTTTTGCCGTTGCTTCACCCTCCGATGGCCGGCGCATCGCGCTGATCCGAAGCCAGGAGCCAGGTGCTTCTCCTGGTCTCCCATGTGGGTGCAGGGCCCAAGGACTTGGGCCATCCTCCACTGCACTCCCGGGCCATAGCAGAGAGCTGGACTGGAAGAGGAGCAACTGGGACAGAATCTGGCACCCCGACCGGGACTAGAACCCGGTGTGCCGGCGCTGCAGGCAGAGGATTAGCCTAGTGAGCCACGGTGCCGGCCTTAAACAGTGTCTTAGAATAAAAAATTTTACTAGCTTTTAAATAAAAATATGTAGCAGTGTGGGATATAGCTTTGGCTTTAGTGATAATAAGTGCCCTCAAGTACCTTCTGCTGTTTGCTAGAGTAGCTTGGGTCTCAGCTAGGTTTGGATACCCATTCTTCCTTACTGTTTGCAGTGAAACCAGAGGAAAGTAATGACCTGGCATGCCATGTCCTTAGCACTCTTACTACTGCTGAGTAACCGTTTATGTCGTTAGTCTGAATAAAGTTGCCAGAGTATTGGGAGTTTCTGAATTCAGCGTGAGAGGTAGTTTTGTTTTTTTTTTAATTGTGATTCTGACTTTGCTGTTTTTTTTTTCCTAATCCTCCCTGAGTCCTCTTTTTAGTATTTATTGTTTTTTTTTAAGATTGAAGCCACACGTCAACCCTAGAGTTTGCTGTTATCTACAGTAGACTTCTAACTCAGTTTCTGCTGATTTTTCCAGTTGTACAAAGTTATAAGCATTTAGTTACACATTTAAGAGACAGTTATGACTATGACCTGTCAAAATTATTGTTGACATTTGAGAGTCAGAGGGACTGCAGGACAGATACATAGGTGGAGAGAGAGCGCCCATCTGCTGGTTGGCTCCCCGAATGCCTATAGTGGCTGGGAACAGGAGAGGCCAGGCCAGGCCTGAAGTCAGGAGGTGGGAATTCAGTCCAGGTCTTCCACATGGGTAGCAAGAACTCCGTTACTTCAACCGTTATCACTGCCTCCTGGAGTCTGTGTTGGCAGGAAGCTGCGGTCGAGCTGGAGCCAAGAACTGAACCTGGGTACTTCAGTGTGGGAATCACTTCCATCAAAATTCTGAGGAAAGAAGACAACTAGAGCCAAACTGTGGGCACAGTGCTGTTGGGGTCCTTTAATTCAGCATGTGGGATTCTGGGGAGGAAGGGGAGAATGATGGGTTTGTGGGGGTTCTGGCTGTAAAATCATGTCATTCCTTCCGTTGCTGACATCAGATTGTTTTGTGTGTGCTTCTCTTCAGCTGGTTTCCCCATGGGCTACACAGCAGCAGCTCCTGCCTATTCTCCCAACATGTACCCTGGAGCGAATCCTACCTTCCAGACAGGTATGTGCTGGGTGACCCAGTGCTTTGTGCATGTAGCTGGGGGAGAGGACATACAGAGTTAGGATTTGGGGTTGACTCAGTCCTTGTTAGTAAAATCAGCCAGTTGATAAATGGGAGAAGAGCATGATTCTTTTCGCACACTTAAGCTTCAGATGCTGCGTTTCTTGTGTCGCCCACGACAAAGCCTCAGTCTGTGTGCTAGCTTGTTACAGGCCACTCCTCCTGCCGCAGTTGGCAGCTGACTGGGCTAAAGACTGTCTTGCCGTGCTTGGATGTGGAGTTTCCCTGAGCTGCTGTTAGGGTTGTGTGACTTCTCTAAAGCATTGCAACATGTTAGTTACATATGTAAAAGAAAACCTCTTGTTTCTGTGTTGAGTGCATGGGAATGTTTTTGGGTTGTTGAAATCACTGTCAGTGTTGGAAGTGGAGTTGATATGAGTCTAAATCTTGTAAAGATTATTTGCTTATTTACAGGGATTTCGTCCTGTGAGCTGCACTCTGTTGTGTTGCTCCTTGGCTCGTGGGCGTCATTCACCCAGACAGGACACTGATTCTACTACAGTGGTTCTGACCTACAGGGTTGGCCTGGCCTCCTGGGGGCACCTGGAGGCACCTTATTTGTGAGGTTGCTAGGCTGGTGTTTTGTCCCTCAGAACACTGGCCTTACACAGTTAACTTTGGCAGAAGAGACACTAACAGTATCCTTTTCTGTTTGTTAATCTAACGTTGTTTGTTCTTCCCTTCCACCCTCCTCGTCCTTACTGTTCCCACCATGACTGCCTCTCATCAAGCCTTATCTCAGAGCAGAGCAAAGCCTTCTTGACTTGATCTTCTTCATGCTCCCAGGCTTTTTTACCTTGGTTCGAGCTTCTGCCTGCCTATGCCAGAGTGTCATTCCCAGAGGAACTTGCCTTTTATTTCCCGTAACTTGAGGACAGTTAGGCCAGGAGCCTGGACATGAGATCCCCAGCTCTATGCCACAGTGGCCCTTTAATTCTCTTCAAAACATTTTTTGTTTGTGTTCTTGCCTAGCTGTTTCACGCCCTCCTGGACTAAATTGCTTCTACTCTGTGCCTGTCTTTTGAGTCTGTTGTGGAATCTCCCTTCCCTTGGAATGGCGATTGTTGTATGGCTGCTCGCTGGGTTCTTCAGTGGTGTCACTCATCTTTTGTAAAACGCCTCACATTGTTTAACCTTTTTTTAAACAGCTGTCTTGAGATACACATGACATAAACTGCACACACGTAAAGCACACTTTTTCTTTTCTTAAAGATATATTTACTTGAAAGACAGAGTTAGGGGGAGCGAGAGAGAGCTTCCATCTACTGATTCAATCCCCAAATGGTCACTACAGCTGGAGCTTCATCTGGGTCTCCTATCTGGCTGCAGGGGCCCAGGTACATGGGCCATATTCCACTGCTTTCCCAGGTAGGTTAGTAGGGAGCTGGGGCCGGCTCTGTGGCCGTAGCAGGTAAAGCTGCCGCCTGCAATTCTGGTATCCCTTATGGATACTGATTTAAGTCCTGCTGCTCCACTTCTGATCCAGCACTCTGCTGGCCTGGGAAAGCAATAGAAGATGGCCTAAGTCCTTGGGCCCCTGCAGTCCTTGGGAGACCGGGAAGAAACTCCTGGCTCCTGGCTTCAGATCAGCGCAGCTCTGACCCTTGCGGCCAATTGGGGAGTGAACCAGCAGATGGAAGACCTCTCACTCTGCCTCTCCTTCTCTATGTAACTCTGACTTTCAAATAATAAATAAATCTTTTTTTAAAAGAAACAAAGAAAAGCTTGGTAGGGAGCTGGATTGGAAATGGAGCAGAGCAGCCAGGACTTGATCCAGCACCCATATGGGATGCTGGTGTTGAGGGTAGCAGCTCAACCTACTCTTCCTACCATGCTGGCTTCAGCTTTACGTTCAACAGTTAGGTCTATGACCCCTTTGTGGTTAATTTTTGTTTATGGTGGGAAAAACAGGTTGAAGTTTTATTTTTTGCCTAATGATTTATTCCACATGTACTCATGCTGAGACCACCATAAAGTAAATTATTGTTCTAGAATATTCAGAGGTAGCCCACTTTTACTCATTTTCTTCATAGAGTACTGTGTCAAATTGTACTAAAAACCTACAGCCCCCCCCACTTTTTTTTTTTTTTTTTTCAAACAAAACAAATTTGAGATTTAACTGAGGCTGACAAAGCTGTTCCTGCAAAAGTGCCAGCCCTGCTTTGCATTGGAAGGCTGGTGTTTGGAGGTCTGGTGCTGCTGGCAGTGTCCTTGTTGGGGATCTCTGTGGGCCAGTCTCTGGGCAGGTGTCATCTACCTTCTCTCACAGCTCTCCTTTTTGCCCCTTTCCCAAGGTTGCCTCCGGTAGTTCCTCTAACCTAGAAATGGGGGTGGGCAGGTGGAACTGAGGCTGCCTTGTTGAAGGGTACCCACTGATGGGTGCCAGACAGACGCCTAACAGACCACTGGCCCAGCAGTGCCACCTCTTCTGGTTTGTTGAGAGAAACTGGGAATAAAGATTTCTGTGTGAAATTGGTGAGTGAAAAAATAAAGGCGCTTTGATGGTCCTGCGACATCCCACAGTGCTGCTGTCCACCTGACCTGAGTCTGGGCCATACCTGTGTGCCCTTTTTTTGGGAGCCTCTTCATTGTTTGATGTCTTGAATTTTTTAATCTCTCTTCCCAGTGGGCTTTCCCCCTTATTTTTTTTTTTTATTTTTATTTTTATTTTTTTTATTTTTTTTTTTTGACAGGCAGAGTGGACAGTGAGAGAGAGAGACAGAGAGAAAGGTCTTCCTTTGCCGTTGGTTCACCCTCCAATGGCTGCCGCGGCCGGCGCACTGCGGCCGGCGCACTGCGCTGATCCGATGGCAGGAGCCAGGAGCCAGGAGCCAGGTGCTTTTCCTGGTCTCCCATGGGGTGCAGGGCCCAAGCACCTGGGCCATCCTCCACTGCACTCCCGGGCCACAGCAGAGGGCTGGCCTGGAAGAGGGGCAACCGGGACAGAATCCGGCGCCCCGACCGGGACTAGAACCCGGTGTGCCGGCGCCGCTAGGCGGAGGATTAGCCTAGTGAGCCGCGGCGCCGGCCTTTTCCCCCTTATTTAATGAGCAAGCCAAAGTGGCCAATATATAGTATTAAACAAACTGAAGTTTTTCTCCATTTCTGCTGCTTTCTTGATCTACCTTTTGGTTCACCTAGCACCAGGCTTGTGGGCAGACCTGGTCTGTAGTCCAGGAGTTGCGTGGGCTTTGGCTTCTGGAGTGCTTTGCAATCTCAGTGTGGCCCGTTTCTGGCCATTTTCCAGTTGTGGAACAGAAGGTTCAGAGAAGCTTTTGCTGAAGGGTTCATTACTCAGTCTGGAAATGGGGACCGTATCAGTCATTTCTGTCTTCTTGAGCAGGTGGATGCAGTGAGCTGTGTGCATATGCAGCTGGAGTGGGCTGTTTTTGGAATCAGAGTTTTCTTGGACTATAGAGTTAGCTGGTTGTTGCTTAACTCCTGGCTGTGTCACTCCCGAGAAAGTTGTTTAACTTCACTCTCAGTATTTGCATAATGAAACACCCCTTGGGTGTGTTAGGAGAGGATTCCAGCGCCAAGCCCATGAGCAGGCACTGACATCAGGAAGGCAGGCTCAGGCTCTCAGCCAGCCTGTTCAAGCCTCTGTTCTACAGTTTTGTCTTACAGTACAAACACCTGTAACTAATATTTGCAATGATGAGTTGAAATTGTCAAGGAAACATTTAGTTCCTTTAGTAAGCTTTAGTGACAGTTTAGGAAGCTTTAGTGACAGCACATATTTTTAAACCATGTAAATGTTGCCAAGGGTGATAGCCCAAGGGAATCAGTAATCACATCCGTAAACATTTATGTGGAAATCCAGCTGATAACGTAATGGTTTTATTAAGGTGTTTATCCTGTAGGGTAGATCTGGTCTGAGTACTTACTTATGAAGAATGTTTGAGAAGTTAAAAGCCTTTACGATACATTCTTTTCTTTTCTTTTTTTTTTTTTTTTTTTAAGTTTTATTTATTTATTTGGGAGGTAGAGTTACAGACAGAGGAAGAGACAGAGAGAAAGGTCTTCCATCCGCTGGTTCACTCTCTATTGGTGCAATGGCCAGGGCTGGGCCAGGCCAAAGCCAGGAGCTTCTTCTGGTCTCACATGTGGGTGCCATCTTTCACTGCTTTGCTAGGCCATAAGCATGAAGCTGGATAGGAAGAGGAGCAGCTAGGACACAAACCCGTGTCCATATGGGATGCTGGTGCCGCAGGCAGAGGCTTAGCCTACTCTGCCACAGTGCCAGCCCCACAATGCAGCCTTTTTTTTTTTTTTTTTAAACTCAGTATAATGTTCATGAGGTGACACCTAGATTTGTTTAAAAATTAAACTTGTTGGCAGCCACTTGAGAGAGAGCCTTTAGAATGTTAACAGGCTGGAAGATTATAGGGGTCTTTCTCTCAAACTGAAGGTTTGCATGTACATAGTTTAAAGGTTCCAGTGTTTCTATAAGACTTTTACAGATGAAAACCAGCAATGCCATCTTGTCAGAAACACCACATCTGTGCCACAGAGGCGAGCTCTGTCTCCCTTTAGACTCTGAGCTGTTTCTGCTCTCCGTCCATGTTTCCCTGTATCCTGCTTCTGCCGTTCCTTCTTCTAGAGCACTGCTTACGGACTTCTCACTTTGGGTGACATGAGTTTATCTTTCCTTTCCGTGCCTCATTTCTTGCTTGTCTGTTCCCTGTGATTCTGATCTTGTGCACATTGTTCTCAGCTGTGTTGCGGGTGTGTTTTCTTCACCTACTTTGTCCTCCTTGAGATAAATACTTACATGGTGGCTTTGAGTAGGTTTTTACCCCCAACTTCTGATTTCTCAGGAGTTGGGATCTCATCTCGGAGCACTCTTGAGCTGCTCCTGGGTGTTTTGTTCCCTGGGGGAGCGCTCTTTTCGAAGCCTCTACCTCCTTCTCCGCTCATCCTGTGGGCCCTCACTTGGG